CCCTCTTCGGCACCTGTAGTCCCAACATCTTCTCGATGGCGAGTGAATAGCACTGTTCGTTACACATCATCGACACGTAGTCCAACCGATCCATGTATGGCAGGGCCTGAGTGTACGTCTTGTACTCAATCAGCTTTTCAGTGCCCCTATGGAGGAGACCGATGTGCGGGTCGGCTCTCAACACCACTTCCTCCAGAGCGCAACTCAACTCGAGCACCAATCGGAGCACTCCGTGAGCGCCCGGATGTTGGGGTCCGAAGTTGATCGTAAAGGGACGCACGTGTCTCTCCATTGGTCGACTATCCGGATGGTCGTCATCCCAGTCCTTCCAGTTGTCGTCCTTATAGCTAATGGTTTTGCCGGCCAACTGTTCCGCGTATTCCTTATACCACGAGTACTGCTGGTCATCAGTAGTATTGCCCCTCAAATCCGGCTGTTCGGGCCCTTTGTCGCCGTAGACATGGTAACGGATTTTCGGCCGGCGTAAGTCTTTGAGTGTGCGACCGGCTTTCCAGTCACTCACGCCCGCCAACGACCACTTGATTGTCACCCGACGGTGTTTGGCCTCCAATTTGCGGTTCATGTTAATGGCTATCGCGGTCACCACTGGCGACGGCACTCGTAATAGTCTCAACATGTTTGCCAGTGTGTGCGCGGCTAAAACATTAGACCCATTAAAAAAATGCCCTTGTAACTTTTTAACTAACGAATTACCTGTTAATTTAGTTTAACCGCCGCTTTTTGCCAATAATCTATCGGTTAATCACGTTATTTATGAACTATTTAGAGGTTATTGGCGTTAAATTAGAGAATTTGTACCCAATTCTTGCATTACATCATCCGTCACAGCATTATGTCATATAAATGCCAATCTTGTTATAACCCGTCCCCTCCCCCCACCCCTCCGACTCCACCCACACATCTATTATCAGTACAGTGTAATATGTTTTGCCCATAAAAGTTAGTGCTGTACATAAAAACAAAGTTTGTTGTAAATAAATTCATTTACATTTATTATTAATTATTACCATAATTCATTTTCAATTAATTAATCGCTAATATTATTACAACATTTTGTTTTTACCATCAAATAAATAATTTTGAGAAAAACAAAACCAAACAAACAATTTCAAAATAAAACACTATATATACGGGCGAAACACCGGTGAGAGCGCATCGGTGCGGGGACTCAGACCACGCAACCACAAGCGCGCACACCAACACCACAGCCCTCTATGAACCTAACGATCCACTTCGCCAAACACGATATCCATTGTGCCGATAATGGCCACAATGTCGGCCAATAGTAGGCCGCGACCCATGTAGTCGAGTGCGGACAAGTGAGCAAATCCAGGCGCTTTGATTTTGCACCGATAGGGTCGGGACGAGCCGTCGGACACCATATAGAGGCCAAACTCGCCTTTCGGTGCCTCAATGGCCGTATACGTGGCGCCTGCGGGCACATTATAACCCTCGGTAAACAGTTTAAAGTGATGTATCAACGCTTCCATCGATGACTTCATTTCCGCACGAGTCGGAGGAACCACTTTGTTATCATCGCTGCGGACCTCACCGGCGGGCATACGGTTCAGACATTGAATTATAATGTTTATCGATTGTCTCATCTCTTCTATACGGCACAGGTATCTGAGGGTTAAGTGGAAAATACAATCCAAATTAGTACATAAATAATAATCGCTAACTCGAGTGGTCAGACAACTCGCACCACAAGCCCTACACATACCTGTCATAACAATCGCCGTTTAGACCAATGGGTATATCGAAGTCAAAGTCTTCATAACTGTCGTAGGGCTGGGTTTTGCGTAAATCCCATTTGATTCCCGACCCGCGAAGCATAACACCACTCATTCCCCAATTCAGCGCGTCTTCAGCCGATATGACACCGATATCAACGGTACGGGCCTTCCAAATGCGGTTATCAGTCAACAGGTCCTCCACTTCATCCACCCTTTCGGGGAACTGTTCGGCCCAACGGTATATGTCATCCATAATACCGATTGGCAGGTCTTGAGCCACACCTCCCGGCCTTACGTACGCCGCGTGCATACGAGCGCCGCTAACCCTCTCGTAAAACTCCATTAACTGTAACATAAAAATTAATTAAATAAATTGAAAATAACTCTCTCTCTCTCTCTCTCTCTCTCTCTAAACACTCACTTTTTCTCTCTCCTCGAACAGCCAGAAGAATGGTGTGAGAGCTCCGATATCAAGAGCGTGAGTCCCGATACCCATCAAGTGATTTAAAATACGGGTAATTTCGCCAAACATGACCCGAATATACTGAGCCCTCTTCGGCACCTGTAGTCCCAACATCTTCTCGATGGCGAGTGAATAGCACTGTTCGTTACACATCATCGACACGTAGTCCA